GCTACCGCTTGAGCCACCTCCCCAGCCCCTATAGCTCTTTTTCTATGTGTGGCGTTGAGGATGGAACCAGGGTCTCGTGCATGCATACGAGTCACTCCTTCCAACCCTGTAGCTTTAAACTCAAAAAGAAAAACTACAATAAAAACTTTATGATTTTCTTTTTTTTTGGTACTGGGGATTGATCCCAGCAGCACTTAACCACTGAGCCCCAGTCCTGTTTTATTTATTTATTTATTTATTTTTTAAAGAAGGAGTGAGAGAGAGAATTTTAATATTTATTTTTTAGTATTTGGCGGACACAACATCTTTGTCTGTATGTGGTGCTGAGGATGGAACCCGGGCTGCACGCATGCCAGGCGAGCGCGCTACCGCTTGAGCCACATCTCCAGCCCCAGTCCTGTTTTATTTAGACAGAGTCTCACTGAGTTGCTTAGGGCTTCACTAAGTTGCTGAGGCTACCCTTGAACTTTCATCCTCCTGCCTCAGCCTCCCTAGCCACTGGGATTACAGGCATATGCCGCTATGTGATGAATTTGTGATATCCCAGGAGCCACTGTGAAGTCCCTAGTCTACCTCGGGGTTTGTTCTTTTCTTGTGCATTCTGTGGGATTAGACAAAGTTTTTTTTCATCCTGTTAAACCTACAGAATTTCCCATAAGAGAATGTCCCCAAATTGGAGCCTTTTGGATTCCAGTGAAAGCACTGAGTGAACTGTCCAAAGCATTTCTTGGGGGACTTGCAGAGTGGCCTGCAGCAGGCCCTGGAGATGGACGTTGACAGCCAGAGGCTCTGGGTGGGGGAGTGTGTCTGCAGCCAGGGCTCAGGGCTGCCCTGATGAAGGCCTGAGGCTCTGGCTCAGGTCGGGGCCAGTTTCTTTCAGTGTTTTTGAGGCCACAACATCAACACCCTTATCTGCACCTGGGAATGTTCCAGGCCTTCTGCTGTCAGGTCACAGAGGTCAAGGCTTTCTGTGATGTTCGGTCAGGACACAGCAGGATGGAGGGTGATTTGAGCCTCCGTGTCCTTCCTGGGTGCATCATTAGATGGCCTCACTGCCCTAGAAGGCCTGTGTCCACCTGTCCATCCCTCCCTTCCCCCACCCACCCCTGGCATTCGCGGATCTTGTTACAGTCTGTTGGCCTAGTGCCTGGGCTCCTGTGGCCTCTGTAGCCTTCCTTCCCTCAGTGACACCTGTGGCTCCTTCATGTCTTGCTGGAGTTTTCAGCTCCCTTCTTTCTGTTTCTGTTTTTGCTGTGCTGGAGAGAGCCAGCGGCTCCTGTGGCCAGGCGCTGCTCCACCTGCCTTCCCATCCTTCCCCTCTGGATTACTTGATGCAATGTAAATGCTGTGTAAATAGTTGTTTACATAAAATCCTATCGTTTAGGGATTATGGCAAGGACAAAACAGTCCGCACATGCTCGGTACAGAGGCCGATATCAGGGCCCAGCTGCGCAGAGCACATCCCAGGGAACTGTGGTGGCTCCTGAGGCCGCTGCACTACTACTCACTGCTAAGTTTCAAAGGGGGGGGGGGGAAGGCCAGCCTTTCCTGGTGCTCAGAGCCCTGAGTTACTGTGCCCTGCCCACGGGACCCTTTTTATCAATTTCCAAAGCAGTGTTTCGGGTGCAGAGCCCTCGCCCAGCCTGAGGGAGTCTGGATTCTGTCTCCAGCGCCACAAAAGCAAACAAAGCTCTTCAAAAGCTCATTTTCCTCTGTGTCAGGAAGCTGAATGTTTAGTAGGCTGTCTTCTTGCTGCACTTGAGAAAATAAACTCAGTTTCCTGATTCCCTCCCTCTCATGCCCAGCAAAAGGCACAGAGCAGAATGCCAGCCTTCCTTCCAAAATAATATTTCTTTTTTTTTTTTTTGCACTGGAGACTGAACCCAGGGGCACTTCATTATTTCACTTTACCACTGAGCCACATCCCCAGCCTTTTTATGTTTTTATTTTGAGACAGGGTCTTGCTAAGTTGCTGAGGCTGGGATCGAACTTGCTATCCTCCTGCCTCAGCCTCCTGAGCCACTGGGAGTAAAGGCGTGCACCACTGCACCCAGTAAGAGCAAGCATTTCTTTTTCTTTTTTTTTTTTTCAAATATATTTTTTAGTTGTAGTTGGACACAATACCTTTATTTTATTTATTTTTATGTGGCGCTGAGGATTGAACCCAGTGTCTCTCACATACTAGGCAAATGCTCTACCGCTGAGCCCCAACCCCAGCCAACATTAAGAGCCAGGCCCTGATGGTGGACATGGCAGTGACTTCTTTTATCATTACAGTCTGACTATCACTCAACTTTACAGATGAGGAAACAGAGTCCACAGAAATAAAATCACTGGCCTAAGGTCACCCAGGTTGGAAGTGAGGCCTGAGCCCAGCCTGTTGGGCTTCCAGGCTCTAGCCCTGAGCCAGAGGAGAACCACAGACATCCCCAGATCCAGCAGGGATTCCGGCCAGGGCCATGGGGGAGCTGAGAACTTCCATTTTTGTATATGTTAGCGTTTGGAATTTACAGCATTAGCAATCATGACTGTGAAATGGAGCCCATCTAGAACATGATGGCCCTCACTTGGCTGATGTGTGTCCTGTCACCTCAGCCCCGAGGAGGCCGGGCGCTACCTGGAGACCTACAAAGCCTACGAGCAGAAGCCCGCGGACCTTCTGATGGAGAAGCTGGAACAGAACTTTGTGTCTCGGGTGAGGCCTCCCTCCCTCCCTCCAGGCACCTCCCATGCCTGCCTGGGTCTCCCTGCAGCTCCTGGGTGGCCAAACTTAGTTCTGGTCCCAAGGCCAGCCCACCTGGGCTCTCCCTCCCTCCCCTGTCCCCCTCTGCCTTCCCACTCAACGGCTCCCAGCGTGGTCTTCTAAGCATAACACTGACCCTGTGCTCCCCAGCTCCCAATGCCCTGAGGGAAAGCCCGGCCTCGCAGTGCTGCGCAGGACCTGTGTCCTCCCGGGCCTTCCTCATCTCTCTGAGCCTCCATGTTCCCTCCATCCAGTAACCTGCCTCTTCCCGTCGGGCATCCCAGCTCTGATGTTCCCTCCTCCAGGAAGCCCTCCCCAACCCCAGCCAGCAGAGGTTCTCCCTGTGCTCCCCTGTCCCAGGCCTGCCCCCTACCTCCCCACTGGACTTCAGCACAGGAGGGCAGGGCTGGAGGTGACTCCAAGCCTGTCCTGTCCCCAGCACCCCCAGCGCTCAGTAGGCACTCAGGGAGTATTTGCTCGGTGGACTGTCAACTCTGGGCTCCAGTGAGGGACCCTGCCACTGGTGCCTTCCCTGGAGGTCCTCCTAGGAAGAAGTGACAGCAGGAGGGCCTGGGTCAGTTGGATCCTGCTGGCCACAGCTCCTGCATCCCAGCCTCCCAGCCTCCCAGCCTCCCAGCCTCCCACTCCAAGCCTGCACAGCAGTTCCAAACCCATCTCCTGAGGCAGGGAGGAAGTGACTTCCCCAGGTCCCACAGCTAGGGACTGGCAGGGCTGGGGTCTGAACCAGGGCAGCAGCCTGTACACCCAGGCACGTGGCTGTCACGGTGCTGGGGCGGGGCAGCATCTAAGCTGCACCCCAGTCCATGTCCACAGATACCCGAGTCTTCTGGGTATTCCTGGGAACCTAATTTGCCCAAAAATGGAGGCCAGAGTGGTCAGCTCTCTTACCCTGGCTCATGCAGGGACAGGTGGTGGTGGACTGGTTTTGTACCCTGGGCTCCCCCTCACCCCAGTGCCTGCAGTCTTCCCTGGGAGGAACCAACTCCTTCAGATAAGCAGGATTGATCTCACGTGTCCCACACCCTTGGCTAGTTGGGATCACTCTGATATGGCCTTTTAATCAGTCCTCCCCCAGAAAAAAATAAAACATTTACTGAGAGCCTCTTGCACTGTAGGCAGTCTGGGGACCCCGCAGTGGCCCAGCCCTGCCCTCTGAGCTCTGTCTTACTGGGCTTTCTGCTGCTTCCTTCCAGGTCACTGAATGTCTGACCACCGTGAAGTCAGTCAACAAGACGGACAGTCAGACCCTCTTGGCCACTTTTGGAGTAAGGACCAGCTGCCCTGCTCTGCCAGGCGCCTTCCCTCCTTCCCTTTCCTAAGAAGCCCACACCCTGCTGCATCCCAGTCCCCTGCATTCCTCGCGTCCCCCCAGGAGCACCCAAGGCCCTTCACCAGCTGGGCCCAGGTGGGGTCCAGTGTTCACCTGGCCTGACCCTTTGCCTCCACCCTCCCAGTCCCTGGAACAGCTCATGTCTGCATCACGGGAAGACCTGGCCTTGTGTCCGGGCCTGGGCCCCCAGAAGGTAAGAGTGCTGGGAAGGGACTTGAGGGGAGGGACCCCTACCAACCAGACCTCGCATCCCAGCGTTCAAAAGTCTCCAGAGGCCCAGCAGCCATCTGCCTGTATTTATTTTTATTTTTTAAGTTGTAGACAGACAGAGTACCTTTATTTATTTATTTTCATGTGGTCCTGAGGATGGAACCCAGGCCCCCACACATGGTAGGCAAGTGCTCTACCGCTGAGCCCCAGGCCCACCTGCCTATGTTGCAGATGGCGAGACCTATCCAAGGGGGTGGGGACTAGCTGAGCCTCGCACAGCCAGTCTAGGGGACAATCCAGATGGGCTGCTTCCTTCCCATCTCCCCGACCCTGCAGGCTGGGAGAAAAAGCCAACACCTCACTCCACACGCAGCAAACACGTGGCCTCTTTAATGAATGGTTCCTTTCGCTCCCCACCCCAGGCCCGCAGGCTGTTTGATGTCCTCCACGAGCCCTTCCTCAAAGTGCCCCGATGAACAGCTGCCACCTCCAGCGTGACAATAAAGCATTCTCTGGGGCCAGGCTCCTGCTGGGTTGCTGGGCAGGTTCTGGGTTCGTCGCTTTGCTCACCTTCTGATGCCCTGGGTGGTTTTGGTTCCTCAGTTTCCCTGGGGGAGGGCTCCAGGCTCCAGCTGAGGCTTCCTCTTGTGCTTCTTCTTCTTCTCTGGTCCTGCGGGAGCCGCCTCCCTGGGCTCCAGATTCAGCAGTGGCCCTGGAATCTCCTCCGGGGGCACCCCCTCTGGCACCTCGCCGCCTTCCTGACCCCGCGGTTTCTTCCTGGTCAGGCCTGGTGCTGCGCTGACCTCAGGCTCCCCTGTCCCCCATGGTGGCTCAGTCATCTCGGTCTCTGGCTCTGTCATTTTGTGCTCCTTTTCTCTCTTCTTCTTTTTGGTAGATACTGGAGCTACTTGAGGCTCAAGGTCACCTGGCAGCTCAGACTCTGCCACCTCTGTCGCCGGCTCCAGCATTACACTTTGCCACTTTTCTTTCTTCTTCCTCTTCTTGGAGGACACCAGAGCTGCCTCGGCCTGAGGCCTGTCGTCACCTGGCAGCTCGGGCTCTGCTTTCTGGGGACAGAGCGCCAGAGGCGGCCTCTCTGGCTCCCCAGCCTCAGCCCCCGGCTCCGACCCTGCGCTCTGCCTCTTTTCTTTCTTCTTCTTTTTGGGGAGCAGTGAGAGGGCTTCCTCCTGCAGCTCCACCTTCACCTGTGGCTGAGGTCCGGCCACCGTCCCCTCCACCAGCTCCACTCCTGCCTCTTTTTTCCTCTTCCTCTTCCTGCCTGGGGAAGGGGCTGCCTCTTCAGGAGGCTCTGTTTTCACCGCCAGCTCTGGCTCGGCCATCTGTCCTTCTGGTTCTGGCACCCCGACCTGTGGGTCAACTGCTTTGGGCTTCTTCCTCTTCGTGGAGGGTGGGACTAGGACTCCCAGAGGCCCCAGCAGCTCAGCTGTGGGCTCTGTCATTGCAGGCTCCGCCACCTCTGTTGGCAGCTTTTTCTTCTTCTTCTTCCCAACATCGACTTTGAGGGACCTCAGAGTTGTGTCCACCTCCAGGGCCTCATACCCATTCACTGCCTCCTGGGAGGCCTCGGCCTCTGGCATCTGCTTCTTCTTCTTCCTCTTCCCCAATACAGGTGGCTTCAGGGCCAGAGTTGACCCAGGCCCTGTGACTGGTGGTTGGCCCCCAAAGGCACAGAATCGAGGCCTCAGGCCAGGAGGGATCTGTGGTGGGGGGTTCATTGGGATGGGCTGCAGAGGGGTCCCTGATAGGGATTTTGGGGGACTCTCAAAGATCCTTAGGCTGCCCTGGGGGGTCGGGGCACAAGTAAGTCCACCGCCTGCATGGGCTGAAGGAGCCAGCAGGGTTGCTTCTCCTGCCCGGGGACCGCTGCTGCTGAGGACCTGATAGCGCAGCCGCTGTCCTGCCAACTTGCCCTTCACTGTCTGGGAGCCAGAGAGAGGCACCAGCCGCCCGTTGAGGCTGAGGGGAGAAAGGGAGGGGAGAACCTTGGTCAGATCTGTTTGTAAGTCATTGGATTCCTCAGAAATGCCTCTCCAAATACCCTCCAAGTGCAGCCTCTGGAGTGGGGAGTCTTCCCAGGAGGTGGGTGGGACCACTCACCATTCTGGAGCAAAGTTTGCAGGGGCCTGGATAAGCCACAGCTGGGTATCTGGGCCAGACAGCTCCTCCAGGGAGAAACGGGATTCTGAGGCTGGGGGTATCGCTGTGTAATCGGGGGGACAAGAGAACCGAGCAGCACCTGCGGGAAGAGAGGAAACGGGGATCTGTTGACATCCAATCCTGAAGGGCGCTCACCAATCCATTAGTCCCAACTCCCGAGTGTCCCATTCCCCTCCCCGTCAATCCCGTGCCCACCTCTTCTCCAGGGGCGTCCCCACACCACCCCTGGGGGCGCCCTTCTTTCCACGGGTATCCCCCCCAGTATTCGCCGTCCACATGCCGGCGCCCTCGTTGGAAGGTACGCTCTCCTCGTCTCCAGGATGCCCCGTTTTTCGCCAGAACTTTCCTGGGCACCCCTTTCTCCCCGCCCCCAGCCCCGGTCCACACGCCCGCTCACCGGCGGACGGGGTCGCCGCCATCCCGAGCCCCCGGCGGAGCGCAGACCCAGCAGCCGGCTTTGAGCGGACCCCGCCGCCGACCACGTGGCTCAAAGTGGGCGGGGCCTCTTCCAGAAATGCCCAAGTGGCGTGGGAGCGCGGGGGGTGTCGCTCGGCGCCCGTTTGCTCCGTTGGGCAGAAATGAAGGACGTTTCCACGTGTACAGAGCGGACCAGCAAGGAATGACTATATTACCAAAATCTCCAGAAAGAAGGTGGTTCACTGGGCCGCGGGAGTCAGAGCCGCGCCAAGTCTCGGCCAACCTCCCCCACACTATCTCAGATATGAGTTATTCCGACACGGCCTTAAAGGGGCAGTCGCAGAGAAAGGCTCTAACTCTTAAAGAGACAGGAAGATCGATTGGACTGAGATTCCTAAAAGAAGCAGGTAAGGATCCTGCGTGGCAGAACTGTGCTTGTAGCGTTAGAATCTCCTCTGGAGAAGCTTGGATGCCTTGGAAATTTAGGAATTAAAAGAGAATTCGAAAAATGGAAGAATGGGGTAATTTTCCCAGCAGGGCTTTAAGTAACAGCTAGAGGGCGGGGCTTCTGGATTCTGGGGTAGCGGGAAACACAAGAGGAGGAGCCTGAGGGTCTGGGGGCGGAGCCTATGAAGCGGGACTCGCGTGGAACTGGAACTGTACGGGCGAAGGGGCGGGGTTCGTGGATCAAAGCAGATTCGTAAATGCTCTAAGGGATCAAGTGTAGTGCTTGAGAAATATCCCCTATGGCTTTGAGTAAGGGTAAGGGGACAGAAGTTCTCATTGTCGACCCCTCCCTGCCCCGAGGCGCCTATAAACAGCTGCACGTGGGTGCGGATTTGGGGGACATGCCCACGCCCCTTCCCACCAGAACTGCACCGCGTGGGGCGGCGGGTGGAGCTGCGGGACAGTGGCTAGACAGGGTGACCCGACTGCATTCCTGGCCAGTGTGTCAGCGCTGCTTCCCGCCCCCTCTGCGGAGATTTTGGATCCAACTCCAGACATGGGGTTCCCCCTTCCTCTGCGGCTTTCCAGAGGGTCAAGGGGAATGGGAAGTGTTCTTTCCGCCTGGGATCTCCAAACAGTGACCCGCGTGTGGGCGAGAGAAACTTTGGGGAGCCGCCCCTTATGGGCTCCGAGACTACAATTCCCAGAGGATCCGAAGCCTCGAGGCGCCGGACGTCGGTCGCGCCTGCTACTGGGGATTGTAGTTTAGCCCTATTGGGCTCTTGCTGGGAAATCCTGTGATGTTCATTCCGCCGCTTTTCACCCACCCGGAGATTGAAATTCAGAGACCCAGGGGTTACAGATTTGGCCTTAAATCTGTGGATTGGAGCCTGTGACTTTCACTATGCTCCAATTTTCCACCCCTTTAGAAGCGTCCAAATCTTCACTCAGGAAAGGGGAATCTGAGCCTGGAGGGGTGAGGAAGGGCCCAGGAGTTCGTCTTCTGCTTCTACCTGAGGTGGGAGTCTCGACCCTTCTGTGTCTTGCTCTTCCTGTCTGTGAAATGGATTTAGAGTGAATATATATGGGAATGTCTGCGTCCTGCCCCTCTGGGACTACAAGTCCCAGGGTGCTTGACGCGATCTCTGCCCGCCCCCCCTCGGGGGGACCCGCCTCCCTCCAGCCAGAGTCACGTCGTCTAACCTGTTCCCTGCGCCTGCCCCGCCCCGTCCTCGGCTCCCAGCAGCTGGAGCTGGAGCCGGAGGAAGACCCCCTGGTGCCAGGATCTGCCCCGGACCCGTGAGTTTCACCCTTCAGGGGTCCAGCGACCCCTAAAGAACCAGACACCATGTCCCTGGGGGAGGGAAGTGGGAGGGGACTTGGACGCCGGGTCCCAGGGCCAATTTGGGGTGCGCAGATGCCTGGGTGCCTGGAAAAGAGAACTAGGATACTAGGATGCCTGAATTACTGGGTGAAAGGAGAAGGGGTTTGGATGTCTGAGTTCTTGGAATGGAGGACTCAGGTCCAAAGGGGTCCAGTAAGACATTAGAGGAGGCTGAGTCTCTCGAGTTGCGGACTTTTGGAAGTCTGAGTCTTTGGGAAATATTAGAGCCTCAGATCCCTGAATCTTAGGCAGAAATGGGAGGCTTGGACGGGGGTGGGGGGGACCCTCTGGAAAGAGTGGTCACTCTACCGTCGTCCTCCGGCTGCCTTCTGGACTGAGCCTCTAGGTCTCTGAGCAGAATTAAGGGTGTGCCGGAGATAGTGGAAACTGGTCTCTGAAATAGACCAGGACAGGTACCCTGGGTCCCTCTGGAGGGTATGCCCCTGCCCTCCCTGCACTTCCAGCTCTAGGGTGGGGGCAGGGGGTGAGAAAACTGGGGAAGTTCTCCAGCCTCCCTTGTGCCGCTGAGCGAACCCCAACATGTCATTAACTGAGGCGTCAGACCTGCCTAACCAGAGGAGGGACGTCAGCCCCAGGGAGCCCCCTGGCGGGGGTGGGGGAGCCTCCTATTGCCCCATGGGGGTGGGAAACTTCTGGGGTTGGCAGAGGTCATTCTAGAGCCTAGGGCAGAATTCCAGAATGGGGGTTTGGTCTGCCACAGAAGCATTGCACAAAGAGGAATTGGTAAACTGAGGCTTAGAGGTGACAGCAGCGTTAGGGGGTCAGGATTTGACCTCTTCCTTCCGGTTATGGCAGCTCTCTGGGGTGGGGTGCAGGATTCCACCAGATTGTCTAGCTAAACTCCCTGCCCTGACCCTGAGAGAGAAATGTCACCTCTACTCCCACAGTATGACCTGAGGTATTGTGAGAGATAAGGGAGGGATAGAGGCTAATTCTGGAGGTGTCTGTCCTTGAGGCCGGGGGAGGGCAGGGGCAGGCAGATACCTCCCTCTTTCTCTCCCCCTTTTCTCCACCCCTATGCGTCATGTGGGGGGGATTAAACAGGGAGGGGGGTGTTTGCTAATGTCTGGGCATGAAGGGCATTTGGTGGCAGCCTGAAATAAAATTAAAAATAATAATTTGGCTGCCAAAACGGCTCATGTCATGCCAGGCTCAGGTCTGGCAGGTAGAAAGGACAGACCCTATTGTCTAGAGAAGTCTCAGGCAACCTCCCAAAAGTCGGACCTGGGCGTTACACCATGAAGGATGCTTGCTGACCCAGGGAAGGACTCCTCCCTACCAGGGGGAAACAGGCTGGAGAGTAAACACTGCCCACACTCTGGCTCTTGCCAGCTTCTGTCTGGAATCTTTCAGGGCTCTCCCTGTCCCAGTCCCCAAGTTACTGGGCATGATCACGGGGCAGAACTCAGGAACATACAAGAGGACTTTAGAGCTCTGTGATCCTTAGGCAAGAAAGCTGAGACCAGAGGCATTGAAACTTAGGACTTTTAAAAATCTCAGAGTTGAAAGGGCCCTTTTGGGAGAAAAATGACTTAGGATCTTGAGCCCTCACTTGGCCTGACCCTGTGTTATCTTAATGAACCACCAAGAAAGGCTGATGATTTAGAATTCTGGATGTGTGAAATTTATTTCAACGCTGTAGATCAATCAGGTCACCCGATCCTCACACCCTTTTGAGGTGAAGGTATTAATTCCCCCATTATACCCAGGAGGCAACAGGTTTAGAGAAGCTAAATATCTAGTGGAGGCAGAGGCTCAGAGAGGGGAAGTCCCTAGTCGGTTCCAGAGAGGGGAAAATAAGCCCCAGCCCAGGACAAAGCTGGAGGAATCTCATCTAGGTGTTCCCAGCCTATTCCGACACCCTGATTTCGTCCCTACTGAGGACGATTCCTCCAGGAAGCCTACAGGATCTTTAACCCCAAAGAACCTGGCTGGGGTGCAGAGGGGGCGTGGAGAGGAGAACCCAGGGGAGGATACCTGGGGGTGGATGGGAGCCCGCGGGACGGGGAGCCGAAGTTGGAGGGCTGCCGGGGGAAGTGGACCTGAGGGCGGAGGGCAGGGTCAGGAGCCTGGGAACAGAGACGCGGCCCGCGCCCCGCCCTCGCGCCCCGCCCGGCCCCCTCCTCTGCCCCGGGAGGTGAGCACCTGCCCGGGCCCGCCGCGCATTCCCGGGCTCTGAGCTCAGGCGCTGTCCGCCCTCCCGGCCGGGATCGGGCGGTGACAGTGCGCCCTCTGGCGGTCCCGGCACTAGCCTCCAGGACAACCCCACACCCATTGCTGGCATTTCCTTAGGATGTCAGCATGGAATCTGAGAACCTTAGACTTTCGGAAATCACACAGTCCCCCAGAAGAACCGCTGACTGTCGAATGCTGGCACTGAAGGCCGCACAGAATTGATCGTTTTTATATTTTGACAGACGCAGTGATTCCTGGGTATCCCTGAGATTCTAAAAGTCCCGAGTTTTGATTCCTATAGCCTCTACTTTCTGAGGCCTCAATTCCCAGAGCCCTGAATTCCTACTGCTCCTTCAGACCAGATGGATCCTCACAATAGTCCTAAGAGGTGAACAGTTATTTATCCCCATCTTACAGGTTAGGAAAAGGAGCCACACTGGCCAGGGTCTGAACGAGATCCTGCCATATTCGAAAGAAAGGAGTCTGGCTCCTTGCGCTTTTTTCTGCTGTAGACTTCTAAGACAGTGTGATCTCTAGAAAGTGGAATAGGAAGACAATTCTGGGCTAGCCAAATTAGAGAATTCTAGAATGTTCCAAAGATAGAATCTTGGATTTAGAACTTCCAACAATTCTCAAGTTGAGGGACTCCGTCTCTGTAGAACCTTAATTACAGTCTCAAGTTCCCTACATCTTCAGAATGGAGGCCTCTTAGAGATGGAATGGGCTTCTTAGGATAGCCTTCTCCTTCTACTGTGCGGAAACAGAGGCCCCAGAGTGGACAGGACTCATGGCCCAAGGTCACACGCTCCCACTACACCCAAATGAGCCGCCAACTCTAACAGGTTCTGTTTCTGTGGTTTCCCAGACAGAGGCTGCTATCGGCATGCCACAGCCCGCCCTGCTACCCACATCTTATGGCCAAGCTAAGAGGTCAATGTAGCAAGGAGGTGACAGGGCTGTCAGGCGTGGCGGCTACCATGGGGATGGAGATGGGGCTGGCTTGACCGGTTCCTGGTGGCCTCCCACTGGGCCAGTGGCCACAACTGCCCATCAGCTGCTAGCCACCTCCCTGTTTCTCCTCCTAACAATGGGTCACTGTAAGCCAGGCCTCCCCTGGATGGGGACTCTTGAGGAGAAGAAACAGCAATCACTGCCCT